TTTGTTGTTTTATATTTTTATTATTTTATTGTTTCCCTTCAACGTGGTGACTTTACCCAAAGAACCAAGAATAATAATTGTATTGTTTTATATTTTTATTATTTTATTGTTTCCCTTCAACGTGGTGGTGACTTTACCCAAAGATCCCAAGAATAATAATTTAATTGTTTTATATTTTTATTATTTTATTGTTTCCCTTCTACGCGGTGGTGACTTTACCCAAAGAACCAAGAATAATAATTTTATTGTTTTATATTTTTATTATTTTATTGTTTCCCTTCAACGTGGTGGTGACTTTACCCAAAGATCCCAAGAATATCCTATTCGCGGTTATTTCGATCTAGCCCCGTAGGTACAAAGCTAAAACGCAAAAAAATTTATACGTTTTTAATTAAATTTTTGCTGTGTTTATTGTGGGGTGTTTTTTCTCCCCTCGTATGTTTCAATTTATATAAAAATAAAAAAATTCAAATATTTGATTTCATTACCTTTTTATTTTCTGTGATAGTTTCTCGATTTTTATATTTATTTTTTTCGTTTCCCGCCCACGTGACCTTGACCGAAAGATCCATTGACCGCGGGTGTTCCGGCAGGCCACGGACGTTTTAAAACGAGGACGCTCGGATTGATTTTGACCGTGTTGCAGTGTTGTGTGAAACGAGTTATTACTGGCAAAGACTGATGAGAGAATCCGTTGAAATTGAGAGGAATAGAAATAACTTTAATCGCTCCCGACAGCTACAGGCTTAGTGCGGCCTGGAAGCGTATTATTATTATTATTAAATGATACACGTTACATTCTGATTTATAGCTTTCGTGACTGCAGTGATTCGTGTTCTTGGAGTCGCGTTGGGGGTGAAACAATATAATAATAGAATATATATGTGTTTGTTGTTTCCCTTCGGCGTGGCTTTGCCGAGGGGAGCTAAGAATATGAATGCACATTACAATTCCTTATCGGCGAAACGCGTGCTAATTAACGGATTACTAACGTAGCATAAAACCACAATAATACGCCTTACAACTAATTGCTAAATCTACAACTCATTGCTACTAATCATAACCATCGACTGATTACTCATCGATTATATAATTACAATACCCTCCGCCTCTAATCGCTGCACCTGATACGAGTATAAATGACGATGGCTCTATATAAAACCGGGAGCAAGCGAGGGGCTTTACCATTCTGGCGAATTGCCCAACGACGATGATGATATAGGAATAGGTTTTACCATTTTAACTGGCACAAAAACTGACACCTTTATTCAAGGCATCATGTTTGCAATAACCACAACACAAGCAGTCAAAATGCAAACAAAAGAGACAACTCTGATAATAATTATATTGGCACTGTCCTTGAATTTGATTGGTCCACACCCGAGACGGCTTTTCTTAGAGCCCCTTTAGTCTCCGTTGGTGTTGGACCAGAAGACGCCAAAAGGCGTACAACTAAAAAACAGCAGAGCACTTTCAGAGTATTGAGGGCTCGGGGTGAGCATTTACATTATGAGATCTCTGATAATATGCACTGTCCTTGAATAGGTCTTCTGGTCCAACACCAACGGAGACTCGGCTCGAAGAAAAGCTGTCTCGGGTGTGGACCAATCAAATTCTAGGACAGTGCATATTATTATCAGAGTTGTCTTTTTTGTTTGCATTTTGACTGCTTGTGTTGTGGTTATTGCAAACACGATGCCTTGAATAAAGGTGTCAGTTTTTGTGTGCCAGTTAAAAGGGTAAAACCTATTCCTATATCTTGTTTCTGGCAAAGGAGATCTCATAATGACGATGATGATGCTGGTGATGTATTTACCAGCGTTCAACGTCACAGCACAACTCAAACTGTAAATGTTGTGGATTCACTCTCTTCAACAACACCGGTGAAGGGGCTAAAGTTGGTGAATTATTATTTTCGTGTCTTCTGTCAACGTGACGCTTTTGTATTTTTGCTGATTGGCCGTGTCGGGTGGTGGAGGGTATACGGCACACATTTATAAAACGACGCGATCTGACCCACCAAAAAAAAAAACACCTTTTTGTTGTGAACGTTTAAAAGTCAACATTTGAACCTCCTCCGTGGGGTTTTGAGGGAGTCCGTTCGGCGGGCCAAATGGTTGTCCCCCCCCTTCCACGAATCAGCCCCGGGTACCCCCTTTTTTTTTTCGATTTGACGCTTTTCGTGACTGCAAGGGGATTCGCGTTCCTGGCTCTTTGGGTGAAGTAGTCACCACGTAGATGGGGGGGGGCGAAACGGTAAAATAATAAATAAATAAAAATATTAACAAAAACAATTCTCACGACGTTTCGGTGCGCGTGTGTGTGCCTGTGTGTCTCTGTGTGTGTGTGTGTCTCTGCCTGTGTCTGTGTCTCTGTGTGTCTCTGCCTGTGTGCGTGTCTCTGCCTGTGTGTCTGTCTCTGTGTGTGTGTCTCTGCCTGTGTGTGTGTCTCTGCCTGTGTGTCTGTCTCTGTGTGTGTGTCTCTGCCTGTGTGTCTGTGTCTCTGTGTGTGTCTCTGGGTGTGTGTGTGTCTGTGTCTCTGTGTCTCTGTGTGTCTCTGCCTGTGTGTGTGTCTGTGTCTCTGCGTGTGTCTGTGTCTCTGCCTGGGTGTCTCTGCGTGTGCCTCTGCGTGTGTCTGTGTCTCTGTGTGTGCTCGCTAACAGCACTTGCCCCTACAGTCTGTTAAGGCTATATGGGGGATCTTTGTTTTTTTGTCTCTGCGTGTGTGTGTGTCTCTGTCTGTGTTTCTGCGTGTCTCTGCGTGCGTGTGTCTCTGCGTGTGTGTCTCTGTGTCTCTGCCTGTGTGTCTCTGTGTCTCTGCCTGTGTGTCTGTCTCTGTGTGTGTGTCTCTGTGTGTGTCTCTGCGTTTGTCTGTGTCTCTGTGTGTCTCTGCATGTGTCTCTGCGTCTCTGCGTGTGTCTCTGCGTGTGTGTGTCTGCGTCTCTGCGTGTGTCTCTGTGTCACTGTGTGTGTCACTGTCTGTGTCTCTGCCTGTGTCTGTGTCACTGCCTGTGTCTCTGTCTGTGTCACTGCCTGTGTCTGTGTCACTGCCTGTGTCTCTGTCTGTGTCACTGCCTGTGTCTGTGTCACTGCCTGTGTCTGTGTCTCTGTCTGTGTCACTGCCTGTGTCTGTGTCACTGCCTGTGTCTGTGTCTCTGTCTGTGTCACTGCCTGTGTCTGTGTCACTGTCTGTGTCTCTGTCTGTGTCACTGCCTGTGTCTGTGTCACTGCCTGTGTCTGTGTCTCTGTCTGTGTCACTGTCTGTGTCTCTGCGTGTGTCTCAGGGCTGTCTGTGAGCAGCAGCTGCCCCACTTCGGTGAAGCGCCGAGCCCTGGTTGACACCAACCGGAGAGACGCCGCTCCCGGCAAAGTCTCCGTCGGCAGCGGCAAGGGCCGCGGTGATGTTGGTGGTGGTGGTGTTGGTGGTGACGGTGACGGTGGTGGTGGCGGTGGTGGTGCCATCATCGGCAAGGTGGTCACGGCAGCCGCCGGGGCGGTTGACGGAGCGTCGGCATCGCGAGCACGCAGCCACGTCGACGCCAAGGCGAGTGGTGGTGGTGATGGTGGTGGTGATGTGGTGGTGGTGGTGGTGATGATGGTGGTGGTGGTGATGGTGGTGATGATGTGGTGGTGGTGCGGTGGTGGTGATGTGGTGGTGGTGGTGGTGGTGATGTGGTGGTGGTGGTGATGTGGTGGTGGTGGTGATGTGGTGGTGATGGTGGCGATGTGGTGGTGGTGGTGATGTGGTGAGTGGTCGTGAGCCACAGTCACTCTCTGGCTCTGACTCCCTGTGACTCTCTGACTCCCTGTGTCTCTCTGACTCTCTGTGTCTCTCTGTGTCTCTCTGTGTCTCTCTGTGACTCTCTGTGTCTCTCTGTGTCTCTCTGTGACTCTCTGTGTCTCTCTGTGACTCTCTGTGTCTCTCTGTGTCTCCCTGTGTCTCTCTGTGACTCTCTGTGACTCTCTGTGACTCTCTGTGACTCTCTGTGACTCTCTGTGACTCCCTGTGTCTCTCTGAGACTCTCTGTGACTCTCTGTGACTCTCTGTCTCCCTGTGACTCTCTCTGTCTCTCTGTGACTCTGTGTCTCTCTGTGACTCTCTGTGTCTCCCTGTGTCTCTCTGTGTCTCTCTGAGACTCTCTGTGACTCTCTGTGTCTCCCTGTGACTCTGTGTCTCTCTGTGACTCTGTGACTCTCTGTGACTCTCTGTGACTCTGTGACTCTCTGTGTCTCTCTGTGACTCTCTGTGACTCTCTGTGACTCTCTGTGTCTCTCTGTGTCTCTCTGAGACTCTCTGTGACTCTCTGTGTCTCCCTGTGACTCTGTGTCTCTCTGTGACTCTGTGACTCTCTGTGACTCTCTGTGACTCTCTGTGTCTCTCTGTGACTCTGTCTCTCTGTGACTCTCTGTGACTCTCTGTGTCTCTCTGTGTCTCTCTGAGACTCTCTGTGACTCTCTGTGTCTCCCTGTGACTCTGTGTCTCTCTGTGACTCTGTGACTCTCTGTGACTCTCTGTGACTCTGTGACTCCCTGTGTCTCTCTGTGACTCTCTGTGACTCTCTGTGACTCTCTGTGTCTCTCTGAGACTCTCTGTGACTCTCTGTGTCTCCCTGTGACTCTGTGTCTCTCTGTGTCTCTCTGTGACTCTCTGTGACTCTCTGTGACTCTCTGTGACTCTGTGACTCCCTGTGTCTCTCTGTGACTCTCTCAGCCCCGTGTGGAGCCACTACCTCCAGCGGCATTTGCTGAGGAGGATTTCCCAGACATCGAGACAATGATAGCCTGGAGCCCTCTTGGTGAGCACTCTCACACACACGCACGCACCCACACACTCACACACACACACACTCACTCACTCACACTCTCACACACACACCCACACTCACCCACACACTCACACACTCACACACTCACTCACTCACACACACACTCACTCACTCACACTCTCACACACACACCCACACTCACCCACACACTCACACACTCACACACACACACTCACTCTCACACACACACCCACACTCACCCACACACTCACACACTCACACACTCACTCACTCACACACACACTCACTCACTCACACTCTCACACACACACCCACACTCACCCACACACTCACACACTCACACACTCACACTCACTCACACACTCACACTCTCACACACACACTCACTCACACACTCACACTCTCACACACACACTCACACACTCACACACTCACTCACACACACGCACGCACCCACACACTCACACACTCACTCACTCACACACTCACCCACTCACACACTCACTCACTCACACACACCCACACACTCACTCACACTCTCACACACACACTCACACACTCACTCACTCACTCACACACTCACCCACACACTCACACACTCACACACTCACACTCTCACACACACACTCACACACTCACTCACTCACACACACCCACACACTCACTCACACTCTCACACACACACTCACACACTCACACACTCACCCACACACTCACACACTCACACACACTCACTCACACTCTCACACACACACTCACTCACACACTCACACACACACTCACTCACACACTCACACACACACTCACACACTCACACACACTCACACACTCACTCACTCACCCACACACTCACACACTCACACACTCACACACTCACTCACTCACACACTCACCCACACACTCACACACTCACTCACTCACACACTCACCCACACACTCACTCACTCACTCACACTCTCACACACACTCACACACACTCACTCACACACTCACCCACTCACACACTCACACACTCACTCACTCACACACTCACCCACACACTCACACACACACGCACACTCACTCACCCACACGCTCACTCACCCACACGCTCACTCACCCACACGCTCACACACACACTCACCCACACGCTAGCCCACCACACTCACTCACCCACACACCCACACGCTCACTCACCCACTCACACACTCACACACACACTCTCACACACTCTCACACTCACACTCTCACACACACACTCTCACACACGCTCACTCACTCACACACTCACCCACTCACACGCTCACACTCTCACACACACTCTCACACACACTCTCACACACACTCTCACACACACTCTCACACACTCACACACACACACTCACACACCCACACACTCACACACTCACACACCCACACACTCACACACACTCACACTCACACACACTCACACACCACACACACACACCCACCCACACACTCTCACACTCGCTCACTCACCCACACACTCACACACCACACACACTCACACACTCACTCACCCACACACCCACACACTCACACACTCACTCACCCACACACCCACACACTCACACACTCACCCACTCACACACTCACTCACACACACACTCACTCACCCACACACCCACACACTCACACACTCACACACACACTCACACACTCTCACACACACACTCTCACACACACACTCACACACACACTCACCCACACACCCACACGCTCACTCACCCACTCACCCACACACTCACACACTCACACACTCACCCACACACACACTCACTCACCCACACACCCACACGCTCACTCACACACTCACACACTCACCCACACACTCACTCACTCACCCACACACTCACTCACCCACACACACACTCACTCACCCACACACACACACGCTCACTCACACACTCAGACACTCACCCACACACTCACACACTCACCCACACACTCACTCACCCACACACTCACACACTCACACACTCACACGCTCACTCACACACTCACACACTCACCCACACACTCACTCACTCACCCACACACTCACTCACCCACACACACACTCACTCACCCACACACTCACCCACTCACACACGCTCACACGCTCACTCACTCACACACTCACTCACACACTCACACACTCACCCACTCACACACTCACCCACACACTCACACACTCACCCACACACTCACTCACCCACTCACACACTCACACACTCACACACTCACCCACACACACACTCACCCACACACACACACGCTCACTCACCCACACGCTCACTCACACACTCACACGCTCACACACCCACACACTCACACGCTCACACACCCACACACCCACACACTCACACACCCACACACTCACACACCCACACACTCACACACGCACCCACACACGCACGCACCCACACACACACACGCTCACTCACACACTCACACACACACCCACACACACACACGCTCACTCACCCACTCACACACTCACACACTCACCCACACACTCACACACTCAC